GAATATTAGGTACTTGGACCCTTGGGGAGATATAAAGGGTTGTATCATCCTTCCCCCCACTTTAAACCCATGGGTTCCCCTACTACCCCCTCTATACGGCCCACCCCTAGGTTGCCCCCCTCGATTAGGTGGGGAGCATGGGGGAGGCCTACTGAAAACCCTGGACCCTAAAGAGCCGATTAGGTTTCATTCGTTTGCTTAGGTTTTTTTTAAACGCAAGCAAACGAATGAAACCTAATCAACATCTAGCTAGAATCTAATCAAGAATGGTCACGAATCGCAATAGACCCAATTAAATTCACGTTCACACTGAAGGTATTTCCTAGAAGAACCAGTCAAAAATCATCATAATCCAGGAAATCAAGGAGATCCCTAATCTTTAGCAGTCAGGGCTAGGATCCCCCCTAACTCAGTGGATCTGAGCCGCAATTACACGGTTTAGGGTTTGGGGTTTAGGATTTAGGGTTTGGGGCTTAGGGTGTAATTGACTTTAGTCTCTCCTTCGGGATCCAAGTATACCAATAATGCGGTTTAAGGGTTTAGGGTTTCGGGTTTGGGGCTACATTGGGCCCTAAAGTCTGCAGACATCACCCACATTTTGGCACTTTGCAACCTTAGGGTTTGCCCTTCCAGCAGTAGTCCTGGGGGCGGATTTCAAAAGTTGGAATTCTGGGAACCCTTGTTTTATGTTAGGGGGGTTTTATTGGGGGAACGGAATGCAAAGAATACAAATCCCTGAGCTGAGGAAGTGGGACTCAAGACCGTTTCAGGGTTTTCTTAGAGACGCTGGTGCAAGATGACGAAGACGGTTACGTTTGGATATGTGCCATAATTGTAAACGCTAGCGCGCGCCCGCCTCGGCTGGCGGGGCTTTCCAATGTAGGAAAATGTACTTATAGATATACAGGTATTTAAGTTAGGTATTTAGATACAGTCAGCTGCCTATTACATACACAAGAAAACCCGAGAAGTCCAACTAGGGACGCCATGTAGGACCCAGGAAACCGGTGGGGAAAATGTTCGGGGCCAGCGTTCGGACCTTGGGTTTAGGGTTCCGTCTTGCGGGTTGATAGCTGTTCTTAGGGTTTGGGGATTTAGGGTTTCAGGTTTATGGATTAGGGCATTAGGCTCTAGAGAAGTGGGGATTG